TCAAGTGTACCTTCATGTTACGAGGCATCCCTGTGGTCTCTATTCTTAGCAGCTAATCATGGAAATAATTCTCTTCAGCATTACTGGCTTCTTGGCTTCAGAGGTTCGCCAGCTCTCCTGCTTACAGAGGCGATCAGCTTCCTGTCATTTGCCCCACCTGCAGAGAGTAACAGTACTAGATATCGTATCACTGCCCACCCTAATATCTCTAAAGAGGCTCACATTTCTGATGCTGTCACACCCATCATACTAATACTAAAGGTGATTACAGATGGTGTATGTTTTATGTTTAAAATGAAATGTAGAGCAGTAATATCCTATGATGCCACAGAACACGATTGAAACCCTCAATTAATTCCTTGCGTGTGATTGCATAATTGTCTCTTTAAAATGGAGGCATAGGGTGCTGCATTGTCTCATCAATGCTAGGACTTTGTGTTCCCTATATTAATGCCTGCTGTTTAGTTCCACTCCTCAGTTTTATCGCTGTTTGTTCCTGTGTGTGCTGTTACTTGCACTTGCTAAAATAAGTGTGCAAGCATTTTTACAGCAATCCAATATGCATGCTTTGTAAAACTCACTGTCAACATACTGAAAATGAATTCAATACTGCCAGAGAACTTGAGGGAATACTAGGGAATAATTGAATAATAGGGACCAGGCCTTAGAAAAATGCTTAATGTGAAAGGTAGATCAAAGTACTTTGGAGTTTGTATCTCATTAAGTCAGCATTTGTCTGACTGTCTTAAAGTGTCACTTTTAGTGGTGTGGACTGAAGACAACATTCAGTCTGAAATCCCTTTAGTGCTCTAACTGCTTTAGAGGAGAGCGCCTTCACTTCAGCCTGAAGCAGAACCTGGTCTTGGAAGTACCAGAGCTTTGCAGCTCCCTATTTAGTATCATGAGGAAATGGCTGGTGGGTGGGAGAGATGACTCCTCACCAAGGACCTTTAGGAAAATGCGGGAGCCTTAACCCCCTGTTAGATGTCTTTGAGCCTGTAGAAAGCTAGCAGGGCAGGGTCAAGTGGACCTCCCAAATTCCAAAAAAATGTTGCAGCTGTAGAAAATGCTCTGTTCAATGTGTCTCACATCCCAGCAGACTTGGGAATGGAATGGTGTGCAAAAGGGCCTCTGAAGATGATTTCAGTGCCAGGGTAAGCTCATACCCTGGGCCAGGTTCAAGGTGCTGTTATTCGTATGCAAAGCCCTTAATAACCTAGGACCAGTTTACCTACAAGATTGCCTGACCCCGCATGTGCCCACTTGATTGCTTCGATCAGTGGAATTGGCACTGCTACAGGTGCCACATAACACCCATTCCAGCAGCTGGATCTTGGTGACATAAGTTCCTTCTTCACCTGATTTGCTGCTTGGTGAGCTAGCTGCATATAAACAGTTCTGCTTTGTAGTCAATGAGGAAGAAGCCTGTTCCATACCTGATTTCAAAGTGGATCATGCAGCAAAGAGCATCTGTTTTAGCATGTGGTTTCCTTGTTGTGGTTTGGTCGTTCTGCTAGTAATGCTAGTTTCACTATTTGTACAGGGTCAAAACGTAATGCATTTATTCTGTCTTTCCTCATAACTAATGGTTCTTTCTATCGTGTGCCCTCTATCCCTTCCAACGCTACTAATTCTTGTGGCTGCACACAAAATAAGACCGTAATTTTAGTCCCTGTTTAGTAGTGTTGAAGATAAAGTTTTTAACAATTTGAGGGGTACAACTTTCGTGCTCCCCCGCCCCCAATATTCAGTAAGAGATTTTATGGCTTTAACAAGGACCTGACCAATCCCCCATTGCCATCTTGAAAGCTGGAGCTTGTTTTCCTCATTTAACTCCAGCAGTAAAATACTTTTTAAATGCTTGCAGTGTTGGCATTAGACTACTGCTGTTCCTCTTGGCTTTGCCCCCATGCTGGGAAGAAAAGTAGGCCTTTTTCTTTTAAGGGTTGTACAGAAGAGATTGCCTTTTAAAACACCACCCTACTATTTTTGCTCAGTAGAACAAAAGCAGCCATACCCCATAACTGTCTGCACTGTCTCTTTTTTGAGGCTTCTCGACGGAAACAGTGATAAACTATTTCTGGCTCTTTCAGCAGTAATTTAATACCAAACTACTGCTGGTCAAATGTGAACTTTAGTCACAGGGACACATCCAGTTGTAGCTTTAGCAGTAAACTGATGTATACTTCCAGCATGAACCTGCCCTCACTTGGATGCTCAAAATAATCTGGGTGAGTGATAGACATTGCATGTCTGCTTAAACATCTTTTTTTGTAAATATCGTTCACCAATGCTGTTGCTGGCATTCTCCCATGTTACAGCTCAAGGGAAAACTGTAGTGCCTTTTACCCTGTAATTTGTACATTACAGGTTGCATTCTAGTTATAAATAAAGAAATATGTGGGCATGGTTCAATTTTGGGAACAGTTTGTACTCGTAACACATGTGAAGGCAGGCAGTCGTATTGTGAAGCATCCTCTGATGTGCTGTAGCTTTCCTCAAATGGAGTCTCCAGGAAGTTCTTGCTGCTCCAATCCCTGGGGAAAGCTGCTAACTGTGAAATGAGTTTCAAATGGGTCCACACCAGTTTTCAGGTTACGGGATTCAAACCCTGTAGGCATCTTGTGTACAGTTCTGGCTTTTCCAAGCAAAGAAAACTAAGCACAGTTTCTTCATAGCAGGAACAATGTTGCCTTTCAAATTCTTACTGCTGTTGTACTGCCTTAAAAAGGTAAAGGACCCCTGACAGTTAAGTCCAGTCACAAACGACTCTAGGGTTGCGGCGCTCATCTCACTTTACTGGCCAAGGGAGCTGACATTTGTCCGCAGACAGTTTTTCCGGGTCATGTGGCCAGCATGACTAAGCTGCTTCTGGCAAAACCAGAGCAGCGCACGGTAACGCCGTTTACCTTCCCACTGCAGCAGTACCTATTTATCTACTTGCACTGGTGTGCTTTCGAACTGCTAGGTTGGCAGGAGCTGGGACTGAACAACAGGAGCTCACCCAGTCGCGGGGATTCAAACCGCCGACCTTCTGATCGGCAAGCCCAAGAGGCTCAGTGGTTTAGACCACAGCGCCACCCGCGTCCCTCTTACTGCCTTACTAGTACTTTAAAATAGTCATTTTTATTTTTATTTTGGTAACGTTTCCTAGCCAAATACAGACTCCCAAGTACCCAAACAGAAACCCCCTCTCCCTTGCCCAAACCCATTTAGTCACCATTTAGCATCCTATTTAACTCTTCTGAATATGAATCAAATAATTCTGCATATCAAAACAACAAGACAAAAGCTTCGAAGGGAAAGAGTTGAAAGAAATGCTGCTGAATCAAAGACATCAAGGAAGTTCACTCAGAACTCTTGGGAGTCTTGGAAGTGCCTTGTACTTTATCGTTGTCCAGTACTACTCCTTTGCCTTGCCTCCGCATACATTTTGAGCTCTGCATCTCTGTGTGGACTGTTTTAGCATTTGGAAGTTTTGCGATTGTTCTTGCATGCATCTGTGCACAACAGATGTCACTTTCAGGCAGTGAATAACTCTAAAATAACTCTGTAAAGAACAGGGAGGGGGAGAATCACTGGATTCTTCAGCTCTGCTAGAACATCGAAATTGTGCAGTCAGCCTTCCAGTACAAATTTAAGGCTGGCATGTTTCTGTTTTGAGGTGCTCACCAGAGCCTTTCTTTTATTTAGTCTTTCAGAATTACGCCAACAAAGCAAAATATTCCGTCTTTCATATTCTGATTTTCAAGAATCATTCCCCAAACAGTCCTTTTGTCATGCCTTGGTGCTCCTAATGGTTTTCTCTCACAGCTGAGACAGGCCATTTGAACTCCGGTAAACTTATCAGTGGGGCAGAAAGGGTTAACACACAGCTTGCTGCCAGGGGAACACACACCCCTGGAACATTTTGGAGGGAAAACCATTTGCTCCTCTCACCATGCTGAAGTGATTAGCTCTTGTAAGAAAAACCCTCTCCTGAGGCTAACACTGCTGGTGACCTAGGCCTGCAGAGTTTCATGCATCCACAGAGACAGGTTGTTTTTTACCCGCCCCCCGCCCCCCAAATTAACAAATTTCCAAAACGTATTTGAGTGGAGTGTGGAAGGCTTGAAGTTTTCAGACATTTGCAGAAATGAAACAGTTAAAAGCATGTGCTCGGGTGTGTGCCTAAAAGCAACTGTCTTTTCCAAACTGCAGTGCCTTTGCTGCCCTTTGAGTTAAATCAAAAATTATATTGCATGTGTCTCTGGGATGTGCACTAGCTTTTCTTGAGGATTGAAAAACATCTGCTTTGTGTTGCTTTATAAACGGGAATGAGCTGGTGGGGGTTAATGACACGAAACTTTGCTCTGTTTTTAAGCTGTGCCTCTTCAGCAGATGCTTGCCAACCCTAAAAAGAGTTAAGCTAGCAAGTGTAACTGTGGGAGAGCCACATGAAGCTGATGATGCGAACATGAGAAAGGGGAAGCTTGGAAATGAAGCAAAGAAACCAAGATGAGGAGGGAGTGCAGAGATATGGGTGCTGAGCCTGGGAGTGACTTTCTCTTGGTTTGTCCGGCCCTGGTACTGCTGGCATCGGCTCTCTGGGGAAAGCTGCAGTTCTGCCGTTAAAACACAAGGAGCAGCCTGGAGAATTTTGAGCTGCGTCACACAGCTCAGAGGGGGAGAGAGAGAGAGAGGGAAAGCAAGCTCTGTCGATAGGTCTACTAGCAACAGCCCTGCTGCAGCAAGAGAGAGAGAGCTCATGAAAGAGAAGTGATAACAACATTGGGAAGCATGCTTCCTTTACCCATACAGCATATTTTTTAAAAAAAGAACCGCTATTTTGAAGCTTGTTTGGTACCAGCAGATTTTGTCCACTGATGATACCGGAAAGATGCAACGCAGTTAATCCCGCAAGGGGGGGGCATACATAGGAAGGGTTAATGGGAGGAAAATTCTGGAATGTTCTATCCTGCGGCGGCGCAAACAGAGGGTTGAGGACTGCACAGGTGTAGATGAACAGAATTCGTGGTTCCTCTTTTTCCTTACGTACGTATCGGATTGGGATGTGGGGTGGGGGAGTTGAACCGACTGTCTCATTTATGTTGTGTGTGTGTGTGTGTATGTGGGTATTTGTTGGGGTTTCTTTCTGTCCCCAAACTCTCCACCCCCAGAACTCTTACACCCCATGTTATTTTTCTGTGGCTAGATACTGTTGGCTGTGTCCTGCGTCACACCAATGGAATGAAGGCACAGGTTGTAAAATGTCACTGCGTAGCTGTAATGCAGATTTGGGGAAGGAAGAGAGAACAGTAGTTTTTCAGAGGTTAACATCAAGAAGTTGGCAGAGGGGTTAAAAAGACAGTCTCTGGATTTTTAAATCTGAGGGACTGTATCTGCATAGTTCAGAAAGTGGCAAATGATGACGCAGTGATCTTTGCCTAGCATGTTACTGGGTTTAAAAAGCATCAGGGGGAACAGGTACACTGTGAATCTCCAGGCCAGCTGAAAGGGACTGAGTTAAGAAGGGAAGATAGCATTTAGGAATTAAATGTCATCATTTTGGCGTTGGAAAGTTGTTTACCTTGCTCTCTCCGTGTCTCCATGTTGGCAGTCTTCCAGCTCACATGTGATAGTCTTCCCTGTACTGCTGCATCATTAACTGAGTGCCTGAGCCTACACATGATTGGCTGGGGAGGGCTCTTATTCTAAACACACATTTCCATTGGAGGGAGAGGCAGTGGCAGGTGAAAAGCTGCCTCAGATTGGCTGGGGCCAGGATATCAAATCTAAATGTTCCATTCCGCTTGCTTTAAAAGGGGGTCTGAACAATTTGTGACTTAAAATGTTGGCTGTTTGCTTCTCTCCACCCCTCCTTTTCCTTAAATCAGGCATTTTGGAATGTGTCTGTGTTCTCAAGGCTGGTCATTTAAAGAGAAAAGCAAAAAAGCAGGAACTTGAGTATTGTGGATTAGTTTAGTTTATTACTGGTTCAAGTGACGCAGAAGGAAAAACAAATATTCTGTGACTCGAGTTGCATCAGTAACAGGCGTGTTTCCGGCTGCTGTGAGACAAGCCACGATGACGTGACATTATTATAGGCTTCAGAAGAGACAACAAAAAAGAGACTTTGGTGGGTGGCTATCTCTGTCTGTGAGTGGAAAAATTCTAACTAGGCAGAGCTATTTACATATATTGTAAACTATTTGGGGCAGTGAGAGTGCCTGCCACTGGTATATATGTAAAAACCTGGACTGAACCAAAACTGAAATGTGTTCTAGGTTACGTCAGTGTAACCTCAAAGTCAGTGCTGTGATGGGATTGAATGGCAACAGAACATAGTGGTAAGATATATGAGGCTTGCTTTCTGTCATTTTGTTTTGTTTTAAAAGGAGGGGATGGAGAGTTCTAAGATGGCTGGAGAACGATAGGTGGACGGTCAAGAAGAATAAACCACCAGATCGAGCCGGGGAGCGGAGTGGGGGGGGATGAGGATCCAGCATATAGGTAGACGTAGTGCTTGCTTTAACCATTTCATGAATCAGATTTTCCATTCTGGACTATCCCATAGCCAATCCCAGTCAACTATTTATTCTGTTCTGGAGGATGGGGTCTATCTTCTCTTCTCTTTGGAACCTGCCATGAAATCCAGAGTAACTAGCATTATCACATAACATGAGAGGGTGAGTTTCTTGTGGCGTTTTCTCATAAAATGCTCCAATGAATTGAAGGGTTTACGATGGTAAAAGGATTTGTGTTGGTGACTCACCGGCATAGAGAGAGTCAAGTACAGACAGTCGTTCGGCAGCAGTTTGCTGGCTTTGGAACCAGATCGGATGCATTTTGATTCTCCATCTTAATTTCTTTTAAAGTACTCTGTCTTCTCAAGTGTTGTTAAAAGATGTATTCTCACCAGTAGGCTTTAAAAGCCCCAAGAAAGGTGAATATGCATAGTCTTCTATTCACATTTGCTAGCTCAAAGGAGCATGAGGCGGAGGGGAAGGAGAGAGATAATCAGGAAGCCATTTCTGGAGGCAGACATGATGCGTGGAAGGAGGAAGGCAAGGAGACACAGCAAATACACCCCTCCTATATTATCCCCTCATTCACCTTCATTTTTCCTTTCTGATTTGCCAAGTGTTATGCCTAATTTGAAATTCTTTCATTGTAGGTGCACCACTTCTCTCTCTCTCTTTCCCTCCCCCTCGCCCCCGGTGTGAGCCCTTGCTCTGCAGAGCTGTCTCCTCCAGAGGCAGTCTTGCATCCTGCAGTGCTAGTTCCGCAGAGGAGGGCAACAGGAGGCACAACTGCGATGGCCGCTCCTGGGAAGGGACCGACTCGGTGCTGAGATCATGCTTGTTCCTGGCAGGACTTGGAGACTATAATGCAGCTGGGTAGGTTGGGAGAGTGCTGGGTTAAATTCATTTTGACCGACGCCATCTAAACAAACACCTCTTGTGTCTTCTAGACATGACCACTAGGGGTTACATATCCATAATGGCGTTCCTTAGTATTTTGGGGAGTGAACTGGATTCATAAATGAGGAATACGAATGGAACAAACTCCTCTCTTTTCTTTATTCCCTAAAACACTTTTCTGAATGTTTAGGACTCAGCATGGAGATAGATTTGCTATTTTTCTTACCACGTTCAGATATGTTGGTGTTTGTTGTTTTTTGTGAATCTGGATTAGGGGGCTTGTTTTTTTAAACCACTTTCTTCGGTGATCGGTGGCTGCTCCTGCAAGGGAATCTATGGACCTGAAAGCTACAAGGAGTGAGAGAGGCGTAATATTTCTGTAGGTTGATGAGGAAAGCAAGACTGTCCATCTTTTGTGTCCGGAGTTATTCATACAGGGACACTGGAGGCAGGTGAGCCTTGGCTGAAAGTAGTTTGGAAGCTTATGTGGTTTACTTCGAAGTCTGAAAATTTGCTGTTCTCGGCTGAGCTTTGTGACCTTGGGCTAATTTGTTTCTTTCTGCTTGCTTCCGTTTTCTTTTCTGCAAAGTGGGCATGGCAAGAACTGATTCTGATCAATGTTTCAGACTGTATTTCTTTAACAAGGAATACTTCCAAGTCTTTACCGAGACCATAATTCTCCCTCATAGGCCTGGGATTGTTCCATTACAATAAGACTCCACAGTTTTTGTGAAGTACACTGAGACATGATAGAACATATCAGGGCAGTGTAACAACTCCTATGCATTTTTTAATTGGTGCTATGTAAGCAAACAGCTGGACATGATTCTGAATGGTGTTATTTTTGGTAGTGGTCCATTGTGATGCATCTGTATTTTGCTGTTCTTTGAGAAGGCAGAAGATGCAAACAAAAGTGGGTGTGAGGAAGAAGCACATTTTTAAAACCTCTGTATTAAATCTACACGTCATTACTCAAAACTGTTTGTGGTGTCTGCATGTGTTGCTTTCACCGCAGCTAACAGCAGAAGAATATAGATGGCGGCAACTGCACTCCTGGCCATTTTGTTGCTGGCAGAGTAGATTCAGTGCTTGCAGCACTGCTGCTGTTAATTTCCACGTCATATCAAAACAGTATTGGGTTTTGTGTCGGGAGCTTTGCTGATGCTATGAGGAGAATAAAGTCTTCTTGAAAATTTCGTTTACTCTATCGCTTTTCTCTCTCTTGGTTTCTTAAGAGAGCACGTAAAAAAACAACAACCCTACCCTTGTGCTTATAGAACTTGCTTTTCCCCGACCCTTTGAGCCCCTCCCTTGCAAAAATAAAAAACAACACGGTTCCACTTTGCAATTTTTTAATCCAGCGCTCGGGAGTGTTTTGCAGTGGTTTGGGTGTGGCCTTTGTCGACTATTTCCACCTCCCTCCCCAACCTTGTCAAGGGTAAGAAAAAGAAGGTTGGGTTTCTGTTGTGGTTGTGATGATAATGGAAAAGAATGAACTTGAAACTGTTTATTAAGAGGGCCACATATAAAGTACAAGTGTCCCTGTATTAAAGATGGCAATGGAGAATTGTGTTTCTGAATAGGTTAGGTTTGTTGCCATTTTTTTAAAAAAAATTAAAAGTAGCTTGATTTTTTAAAGAAATCTCTCTTAGCACGACTGCTTACCCTCACCGAATTGCTTGCCTGAGCAGGGGCAATGCCACGCAGCTGCCTGGGTGGCCATTTTGCTGCATCACCATCTACCACTAGCGTATTCCAGATCTCCAGATTATGTTTTACTTGTGGTTCTGAGACATACGCCCAGAACCAACATCTTTATTTTGTTACCAGCCATTCCTTCTGCAACAGTCTGAACTCAAATATGAATTCAAAAGCAATGTGAAACCCTAAATTATGGTCAGAATCAGATACGTATTTTACCAAAAAAAAACCCCTATAATTGCTTGAAACTAAGTTAATTGGGAGTATTCTAATGATTCACTCCATCGTGTTGCATAGCTGCATCCTGCAGTCTCTTGAACTTTCATTTGCAGCATTGTATGTTTACTTGCCAGAGAGATGGGATACTAAATTTAGAAGGGGCATGAATTCCATTTCAGGTGTAATCATATGTAATGATCTATCCCAAATTATTTACTTGAGTCACATTGGAACACCCTGCTTGGTATGCCTTGTACAACAATGAAGCCCAGGTGGTGGGATGAGACCCACGAGGGGATAATGGGAACTCTCTGGGTAGTTCATTAGCCTGCTTGTAGTTTGCACTGACAATAATATAGCACAGGGAATAGCAATAATGTAGCACACAGAATAGTAAATAAGGAAGGATTTCTAGGCTTACATTTGGATGGAAACAATCACATTAAAAAAACCACCAAGCTAATACTTAGAAAACCATATAGAAAACATTGTTGTGGAATAAATGGATGTTTTGATGTCAGGTCCCCAAAATATTGAGCAATTACCTCCATGTAGAAAAACTCTTCACTCTTTCACAAATGTATGCGGGTGTGGAAGTATTTGCATTGATACCTGTTTTCTTGTCAAGACGGCAATGCATCTTAAGTTGTGCTTTTCTCTGTGGCTGCCATTATCATAGCATTATTGGTAGTTTCTGCCATAGTAGCAGCAGTATATATGTATACAGATAACACACACAGAGAGAGAGAGAGAGGAAGAGAAAATGCAGTAGCCCTCACTTTTGTTTTGGTACTTTCCTTGCCCTTCCAAAGAAGCAGACGGACTCTCTGGTCTGGCAGACTTTATCTTCCCATGTACTTGCTGCTACTATTTTTCACAGTTTTTGCAAATCTAAGGACCTGATAGATTGCTTCTGCTGCCTTTTTATGGTTGGTGGTGGTAAGATGTCCTCTGTAGTCTGTGGTCTGCATGTTAAAATCTGACCCTGTAGAGAACTAGCAGTTGAACATGTCTAATCTAAATGCGTCACAACATCTCCTGAGTGTCATTGTTTTGGGGAATCTTGTCAGGCTACCCATGGCCACTTATTTGGCTCCAGATAATTTCAGATCTACTGCTAAATTGAATGGCAAGCAGGAAGTGTAAAGGTTGATTGGTGTGGCCTTTGACTAATATAACTGGAATAATATTGCTTGTTCTCTTAATGCCTTCCTTATTTGTTTAGGGAGTTAGATTAAACGCTCCTAGTATTTATTCACAAGTGGAATGAAAGTCTGTTCATGTCTCAGGAACAGGTAAAAATATTACATGTGCTTCATAGGTGGCCCTGTGATGTAGACTGTTGCCTTAACTCAGTTAGGGCGTATCCATATGTGGCTGTGGCTCTGGTCCAGACATTTATGACTGTAGCAGAGGATTACGTGGTCAGGGCTCAGTTCATGAAGCCATTCTCCCTTGTGTTGAAGTGTGTTTGAACTTGGGGCAGATATGCCCTTATCCCGTCTTGCAGATGATGCTTTTGACAGAGTCAGAGGCCCTCTTGGTGTTGCAGATCATGGATTGAGGCTGAAATAATTCATTGTTCATGGTGCCAGTGTGAGACAAAACAACGAAGGGGATTTTTTGTGACCCAAGTGTTTAGCTTTCGATTGATTAATAAGTAAATAAATCAGACTTCTTTTATAATTTTGAAAAAATAAAAATAACAGCAGGGCTCCAAAGAACCAATTCTGTGTGCGTGAGAGATAACTGCAGCCTTCTGATTCATGTAAAGAAGACCTTGTATTCCACATGGAGGACAGTTCTTGAAACAGAGTAATGGGGTTGCTAGAAGAAGAAGAAGAAGAAGAAGAAGAAGAAGAGGAAGAAGACGACCTCACAAGGCATGTTCAAGTCCTTGTGTGTACCTAAAGTAGCTCTTTAGATCCTGGCTAACCAGTTTTGACCTTTTTCTCACAGTTGGCTTCTTTCATATGTTGCATGTACATATTTTTAAACAGTGTTGTGGGTGATGTGTAAGGAAGTACATCTGTGCTACAGAGTAGAAGGGGAGTGGAAACCACATGGTATCATTGCCCTCTTTACACTGGTAGTGGTAACTCCCCAAATGGACTGTACCACTCTAGGCCGTTCTACCTCCTTTTGTGCTTGTGCCCTGTGGTATGGGGTAAAGAAGAGTAACTTTCTTTTAACTCCCACTGCTTTGATACAGTGAGGATTTCAGTGCGACAGTCAGAGGCAGATCTGATTGCTGTGGCATGTAGCGTTGGATCACCAGGGCTTCTCCCACTTCACCCTCATTCACCCTGCAGCCAAAATTTCAAAAATGTATTCCATGGATGTTTCAAAATCTGTGACGAATTTCTAAAAGGGATAGTTTTCTTTGCACTGGACCGCGAGGGTGGGGAGTGGCATGCTGTGTGCACCAGCAGGGCTAGTATCAGAGGTCAAGGTCATTGGGCATCTGGTGAGGGCCACATCCCAGCAAGGCCCACTGTTGGCTCACAGTGTCTCCCTATTCTTCCTCTTCCTACTTGCTGTTTCTGTGCATTTCCCAAGCATGCAAGGCCTGGTAAGAGCAAAGTGAGGAAGCAGCTGCCTCCACCCAGTGCAGACCAGGCACAGTGCCTCGCCACTGCCAAAAAAGCTGAAACCAACACTGTGCACCAGCAGTAGCCATAATTAATGCTAACCAGGGTGTTCATCTTCACCAGGATTTGAAACTAGGATTTAAAGTGGATTTGCAAGCTTCGGTTGTGAGAGAAGCTGGCTAGCATGAGGTAAAGAGCCAGCTGTGTGTTAACTTTCATAGGTGATTTAATGAGATCTTTGAAGAGGGAAACTGCATCTGTTGTAGAACATGGTTCAGTTGGAACATTGTCCTAGTCCGTGTTTTTAAAATTCCTGTTAGGGATGGAAGAAGGCACCTCTTTCTGTTCTGCCCTGTTTTCGTCGCATGCGTCACTATTTCCGTTGTGCTGCTGTTTGTCTTCTGCCAAAGACTACACTATTTGTTTTGCTGTTTGCTGTGGCGAAGTTACGTAATCTGCCTAATGTACGTAATTAACTATGTAATCTACATCAATCACGTCATCACATTCTTCCATCCCATTTGTTTCAATGCAAAGGAAATGCAGTACAAATGGGATCGGGGGGCAGAACATATCATTGGTGGCCAGAAAGCAACAGCAAATACTGATCTTATTTGCTGGATTGATTTCCATTCTAGACATGATAAATAAATGGGCAATTTCTGCTACAGTCATACCTTGGGATAAATGTGCTTCAACTTAAATATTTTTGGGTTGCGCTCCGAGGCGACCCGGAAGTAACAGAGCACGTTACTTCCGGGTTTCGCCACGCGCGCATGCACAGACGGTCAAAATGACGTCGCACGCATGCGCGGAAGCGGTGAAACGTGGCACACGCAAACGCGGGTTGCGTTGGCTTCAGGATGCGAACGGGGCTCTGGAACAGATCCCGTTCGCATCCTGAGGTACCACTGTATTTCCATTTTCATCAGAATTTTCCTAGTTGGTATCATAATAAGACAAGTGGGGATCCAAATGCAAAATGTGGTGGGGCACTGCCAACACCTCGCAGTTCCGGGGAGGGGGGGGGAAGAGTCTTGTGACATTGTTTCAAAGCCCACAAAAGACAGCGAGGGGAGGGGAGGGAGAAAAAGGATGCCATCTTTCTTTCTCACCTTTTGAAATCTTCCCTACCTATTATTATTATTATTATTATTATTATTATTATTATTTTATTTTGCAGCATGCATTCCTGCCACCCTAATTCTCACCTTCAGAACAATATAAGATGTTAGAGCATCAAGCAGGCCAATTCCCCACCTCCCTAGTTCCTCCTCACCCACCTCCTCAATATAACTAACGTTTGTGATGTTCTGCAGCTGCTGGATGCTAACTGATTATGCTCAGCCGCCTTCTGGCCTGGGGAGGGGATGTTCGTAATTTTTCAAACATTTTTCAAATGCATTTCTGCACATCTGGGAAGTCCCCTTTTCACCACCAAACTGAAAGACATAGTGCCATCAAGTTCAGTATTATCAGAATGAGATAAAGCATAACTTCTTTCTCCCTAAGTAATGTTTTGTTTTTTAACATTGTCAAACATGTTGTCTGTCACCACACATTTTAATTTGGGGGGTTTAGCTTTTCCATTTTGGCTTGCTCCAACTGGCTTGTCTACTGGGGTATAAATTCCTTTGTACAGGACCTTTTTCCAAATGCTACCATAGTTCATGGTGGCTTTTGCAAGGCAGGAGAGGCCTTGCAAAGGACGTCCTTTCTTTTGCTTCTGAAAATGAGGCACTGGGCTGCAGTAGAGCCCTTTTACCAGCACCACTCTCTGCAATGCAGCAGGTATTCATTCCCTATGGTCCCTTAATTGGTGCAGTGGGAGTAAATAAAACACTTAAGGATGTGCTACATTTTCTCCCCCCACCCCCGCCCATCATTAGAAGTAGCTGAGCAACATGGCTTAACTTTTGTAAAAAGCCCAACCCTTTCTTATCAGAAGCTGTTTGACAACATTGTTCTCATTGACTTCAACTGACGGTAACTTCTATTACTTCACGGAAATATGGCCCTTTGATGAGAGAGGGGGAGTTTTAAAATCACGAGTCAGACGTTCAAGAATGTGATAAACACTACAGTTTTAAATAAGGAAACATAAATGTGGGGAGTTGGTTTTTTACTTGTGTGCTGTTTCTTCTGTTGATGCCAACTTCCTTTTGCTTTATTTTCCCAGAATTCTTACCTCATGAACAATCTTATATCAGATGCGCAACAGACCACAAAGTTTGGAGAGAATGATGCCTAATAGCAGGAATTCTGTCTCGTCTGGTAGATGACGCTTGCCATTCCTTCGTCCCATCAAAACCTGATGTGGTAAGGCACAGGAGTGCACATAAGCTTCTGGTTTTCTGCTATTTTAAGATCTTGCTTTTTCAGAGTATGATGCAAATTCTTATGGACCCAAATAGAATCGTTGAAGAAAAGAATTCAACATAGAAAGTATGAACAAATGAGATGGCATTATTGGCTGTAACTCTTTTAATTTGTTTACAGTTATTAGCTCCCTTCTTTATTGATACCCATATTATTCCTTGCAACTACCATCTCTGGGCACATACTTGATAGTCATTACCCAGTGAAAACATACTTGATTTTTTCCCTTAAAAAAGTGGGATATAATTTTTAAAATAAAAATATAAAATGGGCACATAGGACACTCTGTTATACTAAGACAGACCATTGGTCCATTTAGCTCAGTACTATCTGCACTTTCTGACTGCAGCTGACCAGGGAGCCCACCACTGGGGTGTCGTGTGAGCAGAAGGAAAGGAATCTTGGGACCACTTCTTGGATTGAACTAGGCCACAGATAATGCGGAAAAGAAAATACTTGGCTCCTGGTTGTATAGCAGGTCCCTTCGAGTTTCCTCCCCAAATTTATTATCCACTTGGAATAATTCCTATAAAAGCTCCAGTTCCCATCCAGTGGCCTTTACATAGCTGGGAACGTAACTTTTGGAACCGATGGGTTCACTTCTGGTTGGAAAAGTTCAACTGCGGTAAAGGGTAAGGAGGCAGGCCTACTTTATGTTTGGGAATAGGACCAGAACCCTGCAGGAGTCTTCATCCAGCTCCACCCCCCACTGTGCCAGCCTCCTGAGCCTGCCCGTAATTGGTCAGTTTCACAGGCAGGCTAAATTCAAATTTCTACCCCACACCCTCAGCCAGCGGGGAGAGGTCATGTCAGCTGCTGGAAGCAGAGAAAGGAGCCTGGCAGTGGCAGCGAGCCACGCCACAGCTGCTGCCCACGATCCAGGTGAGCAGAATTTCTGGCAGGAGTCTTTCCCATCCCTATCTGGTTATACCAATAGTTGGACCTAGGACCTTTTGAATGGAAAGCATGTGCTCTGCCACTGATCTAGGCCTTTCCCCACATAAAATTAGCTTTCCTGTGAAGTCATTCTTCATTGACCTCTCTATCTTGGTCACGTTGCCAGAGTTTCTTAGGCTCAGTATATAAATGATTAATCTTTAGATCAAATTGAACAATTATCCTTACTCTTGCAGATGAAGAAGAGCAGTTTTTCAAATTGTTGTGTTGGCTAAGGCTCCAGAAAAGTAAAGAGACTGCGGAGTGCTTTGAAAAAGAACGTTTTGAGTTACTTGCCTTTGGGCCAAATGACACATTACGTGTGGTGTCCTTCAGATGATGTTGGACATAACTCCCAACATCCCTTACCCTTGGCCATGCTGACTGGGACTCATGGGAGTTGGAATCAAGCAATAACTGTAGGGCACCATGTTTCCTGTGTTACATTATTCATATGGTTTGCTCTTGAGTGCAACATTTTCCTAGCACTCAAGAGCAATATATAGTGTATTCCCTGAGCTGGATCAGTACCAGGGAGGGTGTTAAACCCCCCCCCCCGCAGTCCCAATAGAAACTGGGCCTAGTGTTTGCATGGGTGGAGCTCCATTCACTCCACTGGGAGCCTTTACTCCCATGTAAATAGCTACAAGGGAAGCAACATGGCTCAGAACGGTAGCAGGAGAAATGGTTAAAGCTACCTACACATTGTGATCCCAGTCAAGCTCTCTCCCCTTTCCCTAAGCACTGGCTATCTGTAAAAGACAAATTGTGAACGCAAGGCTTGTTTTTTAGTCTATACCCGTGGATCTCGTTTTTAACAATTTTGGAGCATACACAAATTTAATTAATAATAATAATAATAAATATTTTGGATAGTGCTGAATGCTGATGCCTGAAACAACTGGCAAACAGCCAATCACTCTCTCTCTCTCTCTCTCTCTCTCTCTCTCACACACACACACACACACACACACACACACACACCAACACCCTGTGCTTGGAGAATCTAACTCAACTTGTGTCCCATAAATGACTAAAGAACTTCACGTTCTTATTTTCTGTATGATTGTGCACCTGGGTGCTTCTGCCTAAGTAAAAGTCTGAACTTATTTACAGCACAACTCTATGCATACTTACTCAAAGGGAAGACCCATTGTACTTAACAGGGCTTATTCCCATGAAAGTGTGCACAGGACTGTAACTTTGTTGTAGCAATTGTCTCATCAGCAAGTCTTTAAAATGTGTGATGGTGAAAAGGGGCAGAAGGAAGCAGAAGACTCTCCTTCTCTGGTTACTGTGGAAAGTTGGAATGTTCTTTGTTACACTGCTACAACCTCTTTTCCTCTCCCTTTTCTCCACCTCCAGTTTAATTATGCTGTTTTTATGAATAATTCACTGGGCTTACTACCTTGTTTCTGTTTTAGAATGTTGCTGCTTCTAGCACAGAGTTGGCTTGTGTTTTAGGTAAGACTGGCATGTGCCGTATCAGTCTGGTGGTACATGTTTTAAAAGGTTCATGGCAAATTTTTAAGAGGGGATGCCACTTAAAAAATACAAACATATGTGATAAAGCTAACCATCAGTCAGAATTGGCCCTGAAAGAAATGTGCAGCCTAGCATAGTTAACTAGTTGATGTAGAGAAAATGGTTGCTGGGTACAGTAGAACTGTATGTAGCTATGACTATAATGGTGTGCTCAGGCCTCAGAGACGGAAAAGAGAAGGGAACAGAAGCGATTGGCAAGTAGTTTGAAACCAGTGGATTGGTCAGGCTTTGGTGTAGTTGCCTGTTTCTTCTGCAGTGCCTGTTGAATCCCAGGGTACATCTCCACCCCGCAGGGTCATCCTTTCTACATTGGATCAGCAGAGTATTTACAAAAATCCCAGCTACAGAAGTGAGGTTTATGAACTTAAGCTGTAGAAGCACTAGTCCCTTCATTATGGATGTCTGCAAAAATCTCTTTAAACCCCCAGCTGCAGATGTCTTCAGTATTACCTGCTGGGACAGTTCTTCCATCTTACCTACCCACCAGCAGACTGGAAGTTGCTCCCTGTCTCCTTTTGTTTCCTGGTTCTCTCCATTTAGAGTGATAGCCAAAAATGCGAGATTCCGTTTTTATTTTACTATTTTTTCCCCTTTGCTGTTTCTAACCATTGGCCTAACTTTTCAAGGAAGTACTGGTTGTTTCTGGAGAGCCTCTACAATTTTCAACCCTTCTCATCTTAAGAAGGTATTGAATTACAGACGGACTTGAATTACAGAGAGTGACAAGTCAGCCTCCAGGGGAGGAAACAAAAACATTGCTCCAAGGTTTGTGGCGCTGAGATACTGAAAATGGGGGCAGTGATTAATGGCTGATAATTTTAAACCAGGGTCCTTATATAACAGCTGTCAAGTTCTCAAGAACTGGGTCTTACAGACAAGTAACCTTACCTAACATATTTGCCGGTCTCCTGTGGCACATTCAACAACAGGATACAATTGAAGCGTTCCTCCGTTAGGCATTGGGAAAAGAGAACATTGGCATAGATACCACTGATTTAAAGAACGGAAATGCTTCATGGTTAAATACTTTATTAGGACATGAAACTCTGAAGTTCAGTTCCTTGCTTTGCTACAGAACCCTTTTGTAGTTCTGGAAATATTAAACCTCAGTAAAATTGGTATAGTAGTGCTTCTCTGCTGTATTTTATAGTGGTGACTTGGGTGAACAAAAGATGCTGGTCAAGCAGTCCTTACATTTCCACATATCCTTAGGGAGTATTAAACTAATTCCAGAGCTGAATGGATTTTAGATAGCTTTGTAAAACCAACTGATGGAAAGGGAAAGTCTTATCACCTTCTGCTTTAGTTGACTTAATATTACATTTAATACCTTTTTTTCCATACCTGGAAAAGTACCGTGTGCCCTGTAAAATAAATTTTAACATTTGCTATCCCTATCTTGACATAAAGCAAACTTGGGCAACTAATTTTCCACTTGGAAAGAACAAGCAATCGTTTAAGCCAAGTATAACCAAGGCATGTGGTATGAAACCTCAATTTACTTAGAACATGTATGCTTTGGATACATCACATAAGATTAATTATTTGCATAGCCTTTTTACTGCTGATTATCTGAATCTGGCCAATATATAAATATGCATTTTATGTAAGGGGGAGGCAAGTAATACTTTCTTATTTAAAAGAGTGAGATTCCTGGAACCAAGAGTTTGTGGAACAGAGCTCCTCATAGCATCAATGGCCCAAATTTAGTTTTAACTTCAGCAAAGTTTTTGTGGTAGAGTTTTATGAAGTATTTAGCTGGATAAACTTTATGTAGTGTAAGTGCGCACACATACATAAGTAGCCACTACTGGAGTATTTATCACTAGTTCTCCACGCTGTAAGGGACATTTTATCAACATTTTACAGGATAGTGAAGGCTCAGAGAGACAGTGCAACTTACCTCACTGTATATAGGAAATCCCTTGCATGCAGGCTAGTGCTCAGGCTACTATAGTTCACAATGGCATGAGTTTGTCAGTTGAGAATGTTTTGTTCTCAAATAGGCTTTGATTTAATTTCTGCAGCTTGCCGAGTTGTTCTAAACATCGAGCAGGGGTGGGGATGGGGCACATTTGAACATTTAGAATGTGCTCTTCTTTTTTAGTGTCCTGTAGTTACCACCCATCCCACCTGGTATACGTCAACTGAGTCTACGCTTAGCAGTTCATTCTTAAACAAAATGAGTTGACTTATCTTTATGTCTTTTAGCATATTTAACTGGGTAGAAATCTTACTATATTAGGTGTAAATTGCTTCAAAGTAGGCCTGTCTAGGATTGTGCTGCATGCAACAGTTCTTACCCTTATTTTGCTATGATGTAAGAGACATTTAA